CTCTGAAAACAGGACCCCTGGGACACAGAAGATATCAGACTGCATGAAGCGTCTCAGTTTTTTCTCTTCTAACAGAACTGTGGGCAGAGGACACAGCACGATCATTATTCCCAGTAGCAACAATGCAGGATGACTTTCAGCACCTTCGATGGCTTTCCAAAGCACAAAGCCGCTCAAGAGTATCGTCATCCACGCTGTGAAGAGTACTGATGGTTTACAAAGCCATATATGTGATCTAGAAATCATCTAGCAAATCTCGTTAATTAACAAAATGATATATAACTCTTTTAACCAACAGCTTGACAGCTATGAATTAGTTAACAAGCGCTCCAAAAAAGTTGAGAAGGGATGCGTCACATCCTGACATATTGAACTCTGGCTACGGATTTTTTCCAAAGCTACCACAAGCTTACAGAGAACCCAAAGCAATATTCAAGTGACAGGACAGCAGGACAATGTGGGGCTTCCCGGAACATTAATTTCCTTGGGTAACAACAGGTGTAGAATCAAGCAGGATCGTTTAGCATAAACTTCCCTCCCTCAGCTTTCATGAGTCAGCCCACCATTCTAACCAGGGAATGAAATCAGCCTACAAAAGTGCATCATAACAGATTTGGTTCTGCTCATCTGGTTTTAATAGTTTACACAGAGGAAGGCAAATGTGCAGTTTGCTGGGAAAGGAATCACTGCCAGCTGGGAGGTCAATGCAGCAAAACAGAAACATGGAGCTGCTGAGAGAACACAGAAACATCGGTATGCGTGCACACATGCGCACACACTTTCATAGGGAGGATGTTATGACAAACATTTGCATTTCCATTTTGGAGAAGGGAGAAGCAAGGCAGAAGAAAACTTCAAACCGCAAAGAGAGAAATTAAACACTAAGTGAAATTTTAAGTTCAGTCAAAGAAAGTATTTCAAAATGAGCACTGCAGCACAAGTACTGATGTACACTGTATGAAGAAGCACAGTAATTCATGGCAGAAAAAACAGTGACTCAAACCTGATTAAAGAGAATGCAACAGGAAGCAGAAGGGGGGACAGCTTTCTGAGAAGATGTGAACGAGCGTCTCCTAAAGTATGTGTTCTCTGATCATACACAGAGTATAGATGAACACACCAATTTTTACCAAACACTGAAAAATACTTTTATAATTAATATCATATTTTCCGTATGCTGTAAACAGAAAAACAAAGTCATTTACTTTTGTCTGTTGTTTAATTACAGCTTTGATCTGTAGCCACTGCAAGGGGCAGCAACGCAAAATCACCCTCACAAAAGAAAGAAGACTGCAAGAGTTGCATGTAGAGAGGAGCATTAAAAGATTTCCTGGAACAACGGGTGGGTGAGCATTTCACTCAGACCTCATGAAGGTCACAAGGCTAGAAGAGCAGACTGTTACTTTTAAAAGTGCTCTTTCAGACTTGGGGAAATATCAAGTCTTTTTGCAACGCCAAATTTTCGTATGACTGTTAACAAAACTCAAAGTGGAGGGATGAATTTCAATTTATTATAGTTACGCAGATGGAAGCTTACAGTGTTTGAGGGATCAGACGGTGCCCAATTTAAAATCCAAATATTCTTAAACATAACTACTTTTCAAAACTTGCTACTGCCCCAATAACTCAATTATTTACACAACAGTGTTTTGCTAACTACTGGTCTTGCATTGCTGCATTTAAATGCTCCCATCTATATTACTTTTTAGGCCTTTGAAGGAAGTATCCACGTCTCATATACCTTCAGTGGAGGTATCTTTGTACTCAATATATCCTTTTCTACAGGATTACAGCCTGAAGAAACGCTCCACTGACAATTATACAATCGACACAACACAAAATCCGCTTCAAAGTAGCATTTCTGTGCAGCAACAGTGACACCGGGTGGTCACTCCATGATCCTGAATTGTTGCTGCTTAACACTGAAAAACAGCGCAAGCAGCTGCAAGCACACCCTTGTGAGAAACATTACCCTCCAGCCAGGGCAGCACTGCAACGCTACAGCACCTCTCAATTTCACTTCTTGTACTTCTGCTGTTCTGTGCCGTTTCTAATAAGTCAAATATAATTAACTTTCAGCATGAGCCTTACCTGGTGGGCTGGGAAAACAGCGTGTGGACACACAGGTAGTTTTGCACAATCAGTCCAGGCTGCACAGACCAGGCCTGAGCTGCTCCCCGGCCACCACCCCAGCTCGGTTTGGGCTGAATGCATTGTGGTCACTGAGCGCACACTGGTGCTGGTGCACCCATGCCTACACATCATGTTCCCAGGGTCTCTGCTCTTGCAGAGCAGGCCAGGCCCCAAACTTAGCTCTGCACCAGCTTACCAGCTGGACCTAATGGCACTTAGGAAGTCTGGATTCTGCGCTGCATTTGAACAGCACTTCAGCAGCAGTTCCCATTCAGTAATTGGCTCTGGAAAAACCTACCTGCCCCTTACAGACTCGTTCCTAACCCAAAGCAAACAAAAACCCCCTTGAACCCACAGCCTGCCTAATCTGATCAGTTAGCTACTGTGACTGTTACCATGCAGCACTGTTTAATTATTGAAAGAACCTGAGAAAGGACATCTCTTAATTATAATCCAGGGAAGATAAAGCAGCTGATTTCACTGTGAGCAAATAATCAGCAGAGAAAGTAAATTTATTCACTGCCATATCTCCTCTGGACTGTGAGTTACTCAGGGAATTTATACACTAAGGAAAGCAGGGAATCAAAACCTGCTGCAAATAATTCCAATCACAGCTGTGACTAGCAGAAGTGTGTTTAAATTGCCTACAATCAGCAGGTTAAATCTTCCCCCATGTTCACACCCATATTAAGAACGCACTGCCAGTGTCAGCACTGCTGTTCCAGTCATATCCAGGACATGCTCAGTAATGTGTGAGCGTGGTATTTGAGCGACGCTGCACCACGTGCCACCACTAATGAACAAAGTGCACTGGCACAGCACTGTGCATAGAGCACGTGGATGCGGACTCCAATTGAACACTTAAGCAGCTCTTAGTATTCAACAGATCAAGGTCTTGACAGCCATGATCCTTATAGCTTGCTTAAGTTTCCATAAAAAGGAACTTGGATGACGACATCCATCCTTTAAGGTCCATTATTATGTGCCTGAAATGTGCCTGAACCATCATCTCAAACTTCACCTCGTATTTCCCAATGCCTGCTTGGATGGAGATCAGTTCCAAATGCTTTTGTGAAGGCCAGTGTTTAACCCAAAGAGACCCACTGCACCCACCCCTCTGCTATGCAGTACTGAAGGCATTTTCATTAGAGCTGATCAATTCAAGCAGGCCCCCCAAACTGCCCACAACAGTGCCTACTGCAAAGAGCCCTTCCCCAGATAGAAAGTGTCTGATGTAGTGAAGCCTACAACAAAACAGCCCGCTTCCATTTTATGAGTGGAACAATGTAATTTGAAATATTAAAATACCTAATTGGCAAGCCACATACACAGCCTGCACCAAGGACAGTGGGACAGAACCTGCACCTAACTGTGAGGTAATGGAATCTCAGGCCCACCCACCTTAACACAGCACAGCTTACAACACACTCCTACTACCTTAGTCCTACATTAATGTTGTTTGATAGCAGCTTTCTGAAGTCCTCACCGGAACGCTGTATCCTTTCTGGAAATACAGATCATGTTAAGTTCTAGAAAGAACTAGTGACAGTAGTAGTGCTTAGACCTTAATTCGTGTTGATTCACCACCAAATACTCCACAGCCCACATGAAGATTCTTAAGCCACCACAGAAAAAAGCCAAAAGGAATGTGTGTGTCATTTATCTATACTGGGTTTACTAGCTTAAACTGAGACAGACAACACAATGTAATGTGCAACAGAAAACTTTATTAGCATTTCAACATACAGATCAGCAGTTAAGTTTGCATTTAATTTAAGACATTAGAAAGACTACAGTGCAAACACAAGTGCTGTGCATCTTGCTTGACAAGACTGCTGACAACTAATAGCCACCCCTGAGACGCAGCACCAGATGCAGGGTGGACTCCTTCTGGATGTTGTAGTCAGACAGGGTGCGCCC